CCAGTGCCACTTGGTGCCAGGCCTGACCCCGTGGGTCCTGCAGGTGAAGGGAAGGGGGGGGAGGAACAGGCACCTCTGTTTGCCCCCCCCAGACCCTGAAGTGCACCAGGTCAGCACAGCCTCTTCGCTCCTGCAGCCCCCTCCTCCGCTGCCTGATGGCTCTGCTGCTCTGGACGCTGCTGGCCGCCTGCCTTCCTGCCCTGTGTGCTGGGACGGACCAGGTGAGTTACAGCCTGCTTCCCTTTGAGAATCCTTCCATGAGGAGGGAGGCTGCTCTGCGGCAGAGGGAGGGTGCTCAGGGCGTGTCTCTGTGTCCGAAGCCAAAGAAGCAGGTTCAAATCCTGCTTCTCCAACCTGCAAGGAGGCACTGAGGTCAGCGAGGGCCAGGAAGTGGAGGAGCTTTGCTGGGCCCCGGCTGGCAGGCATGTGTGAGGGCCTCGCAGGGACCCCCCAGAAAGAGGGAGGCCCACTTGGGAACAAAGCCAGAGCTGGGCAGCTCTTAGCCAAGCTCAGAGAAGGGGCAGAGGGAGGAAGAAGCAGGTCTGGCGCAGGAGGGTTGAGTCAGCCCTGGGGGCAAAGGGGAAACTCCTCCCCAGGGCAGGAGGGCCGCCCGGGGGCACCAGCACGTGCCCAAACGGTGCGAAGGGCAGTTGGGGGAGGAAACGGGGGGGCTTTCACCCTCGTGCTGGGCGGGTGGGCAAGGGGGGTCCCTCTGTAGGCCAAGACCAGGCTGTGGACGGCCTCCTTCGGTTGGGCAGGCAGTTCCCACAGTCTGCGGCTGACAGTCCAGGGCAGCGGCTCTTGGAAGCAGGCGGGGTGACGACATGCAGCCGTGTGCTGGGATCTGGTCTGATCCCGTCTGCAGTGCGGGATCCATTCGTGTATCTGCTTTGAGTCCGGCTGTCCAGTGGGCTGCTTTAGACAGCTCCTCCCCTTGAAGGGTGTCGATCCACCTTCCCAGATGAGCCGAGATTAGCACAAGATTTAGCACAACAGACCAGCAATCAAGAAGTAAACAGTTCCCCGGTGAAGGAGCTGCCAACTCCAGGAACCAAACTAATATTGAACAACCACCAACACTGACACACACATGTATAGCAACACTCAACAAGCCGCCCTTCGTTCCAGCACTGATGAGGTTACCTAGTTGGGTAATGAAACGCCTGCCAGAAAGCAACCCGGCTCAGAGAGGACCCCCCAGGACCTGCTTTGAACTGGGGGGGACTCCTGGCAGGAGATTCAGAGATTCTTCTCTCCCCCCACCCTCCTCCCCTTGCAGGTCATTGCTGCGGCGGTTCCCCCTGAAGACGGTCTGCTGCTACAGACAGGAACGGAACCCGGGTCCCAGGGGGCCCTTCAAGGCCCCACAAAGTTGCCTCCCCACTTTCCAGATGAAGCTGCCGGCCAGGGGGAGATGGTTCCAGATGGCCTCCCCAATTCTCTCGAGGGAGAGGAGGAGGGGGAGGAAGGCTGCCGGGACTGGGCCCTCTCTGGAAGCGCAGGCCAGATCGCCTCGGCCATGAGGGCCCTGGGGGTGGACCTCCTGCGGGAGATCGAGGCGGAGAAGGGCATGGGCAACACCATCTTCTCGCCCCTCAGCATCGCCCTGGCCCTCGCCCACCTGTCCCTAGGTAACACTGCCCGGAAGACCCTTCTCGGAGGGGGGAGGCTGACCCCCCAGACTGCTGGGGAGCACCCCTCAGGAAAGAGCCTCCTGCAGGGGCGCAGCTGTCCTCCTCCTCCTCCTCCTCCTCCTCTTCCTCCTCCTCCTCCTCCTCCTCTTCCCGCTGATCCCAGCTGTCTCATTTGCTCTGCTGAGCTCCAGTTGCCACTAGTGC